CGTGTTCTTTCTGCATTTCTATGCTAATTTAAACATGTTCTACCTTTTCAGCTTTTTTTTAGCTAATTTGAGCTGTTTTCAGATAAATTCAAAGTTTACATGGTAATCACTGCTACTTTCAACCTAATTAACTTTTATCTGCTAATTTCAGCTTGTTGTGCTCCTTTCAGCTTATTTCTGCTAGTTTCAGTTCTTTTTTCTATTTCAGCTACGATTTAGCTGTTTTGTGCTAAATTTAGCTTTTTCAGCTAATTTCCATTTTTTTTAGCTTACTTTAGCTCTTTCTACTTCCTTCAGATAATAAGCTTCTTTCTGCCTTTTCAGCTACTTTTCACCTATTTGCTGCTAATTTCAGCTTTTTGAGCTGATTTCCTATAATTTTTGTGCTAATTTCTGCTTATTTAAACCTAATTCAGCAAATATGTGTTCTTTCAGCTTTCTTCTGCTAACTTGGGCTTGTTCTCCCATTTCAGCTACAATTCAACATGTCTTTAGATAATTTCAGCTGTTTTCAGCAAGTTCTTCAATGATAAGCATTCAAACTGCATGTTTGCTGGAAACATAATTTCTCTAACTGACTTTGCATTTATGAGTTTATCAGTTAATCACTGTTGTGTGATTGAAATCTAAACTTTTTTCAATACAATGAAAATAAACTAAACTAAAAAAAACAAAAAACAAATACCTCCATAAATTAGTCTTATGATTTTAATTGAATTCATTACAATAATCCTTTCCCATCATTATTCTTGTAGTCATTTCAGTTGTGCTAACAAAACAACAGAACAATGTTAATTATATTGTAGTTATTAATATGTCACACATGTTGTTCAAGCTCAAGACTGTAATAACACACCAGACCTGCACTGCACATACACACAAAAAGGAAAAATTTAGGCATATTTTGAAAGATGCAAGTGAGTTGGTTGAGTCCAAATGCTGTGGGAGGTAGTGTGGGTGGATGAGAGCACTATTATAGCCAGGTTTGCCTCTCTCCTTTGTCTTTAAAGCGAAAATTAGAAATCAACGCTAGGCTGGATTTAAACTTTTTAAACTGCATTTTTTTTTGTACAATGATAAAAATCAAAATATTGGGATTTTTTTTTGAAAAGGAGGCACAAGACATTATTTATGATACAGTTATATCTTGATCAAAATGTACCTTAATTGTATTATCACCCGCTGCTCAAGGCAAAGGTGGAGCAATAATGGTTTTGCCTCCATCTGTGTGCTTGTGTTTGTCTGTTTAATACAGATTTTGGCTAAACTTTCAGAAACTAATTATTAATTAACATCTTTAAGGCTTTACCATAAAAGGTGGAGGGGGCTATGCATTACTTTAGGGAATTTAATTCCCTTTGAATCTGAATGTGTAACAGGATCTAAGTTATCAACAGTGGTGCAGGTTTAAGTTAATCCAGGTTTATTAAAATGTCAAACAAACAAAAAAACGATGCAGTTTTCTGCTGTTCTGAGTGCAGAACAAGCAGCTTATCCACCTTGAAGGTTGATCGAGATGTAGTTTTTCACTTTAATCGCAGGAGCTTTCAAGAAAGTGACTGAAAGAGAATATGTTTTTCTGCATGGCTACCTTACAGTGCGACGTCTCCCCCATGGGATTCTGTTTGATGTGAGACCAGCAGACGGTGCGGGTGTATGCTGGTGTGAAATTAATTTCTCTTGCTTTTGATGGTGTTGAGTTTATGTCCCTTATAAAAGAGACGTCTTTGCCTTTTTTTTATTTAATGCATTTATCGCCTGCCACCAAAGGCAAAGGTGATATTGTTCTTGCCCGTGTTTGTGTGTGCATGTGTGTGTTCATTTGGTTGTGGCGTTATCACAATATTTCAGAAACCACCAGACAGATTTTAATGAAAGTTTCAGAAAGTAATTATTTGGTGCACAGCTACAACTGATTAACCTTTGGAGTCAACATTATTCATGACCACCGTAACTAAGCAATCTCAGGAAGCACAAAAACGGAAATAAATCAGCAAATTTTACAGATGTTAAGCAAAAATTTGGCACGCTAGCAGAGATGTATCCCCATAATATACTCTGAGCTCTGATTGATTCTGCAAGATCTGTTTTTAAAACCATGCCAATACCTATTGAGGTAAATGCAGACAGTCTGTTACTAAAATATCACCTGAACCAATAAATGGACTCTGACTGATGAAGCCCTCTGGATAGAGGGTGAAACGTCTCTATAAAAAAGAAACTGTCCAGATGACCCGACTGAGAATTATTGGATTTGGTACCTGGATGATTGAGCATGAACTTTGTTGCCTTGAACCACTTTGGCTGTGGCTGCCTGCCTGGGAGGAGTCGACGAGGGACAGGATGGCCCCCAGAAACCATCTTAGCTCTGGATCTGGTTGGCCCACTTAAGGAGTTACTACTTGGTGGGGAAACAGTTTACTGGAACTCCTCAGACTGATGAAGCCCTCCGGATAGAGGGCGAAATGTCTCTATAAAAAAGAAACTGTCCAAATGACCCGACTGAGAATTATTGGATTTGGTACCTGGATGACTGAGTATGAACTTTGTTGATTTTATTGAGAATTTTAGAATATAATGTTCAGATGTACATCTACAACTCATTAACAGTTGGAGTCATCTCATGGCCACCACAGACAATTGACCAGACAATTGGGGGAGTGGTGGCGCAGAGGTTAGAGAGGTGGGCCTGTGATCCGAAGGTCACCGGTTCACGCCCTGGCCCTGACATCAAAATTGTGGGTGGGGTAGGTGAAGCACCCATACTTGCCCCCATCCTCATTTGCCCCACCCTGGGCCCATGAGCAAGGCCCTTAACCCCCCCCATCTGCTCCCTAAACAGGTCTCTCTTGAAAATGAGTTCTCGTGGCTCAATGAGACTACCTGGATAAATAAAGGGTAAAAAAAAAAATGACCCCATAAATAGCTAGAATTCATACAGTTTTTCAGATATCAGGCTCAGTTTGGGTGTGGTAGTAGAAGCCAAGCAGCATCCCCAGCACATTTTCAGAGCACAACACATTGTGCAATATTTTTGCTTAAAACTTTAGCTTTAATTATTTTTAAACAAAGTCTTTTTTATTACATTTTGTGCTTTTTTGAACACAAACAAAAGAACACTGAACAAAATCTCCTTCAATACCGGATCAGTCACACATAAATAAATAGGTTATACAAGCATTTACATGTTCTCAACAAATGACAGAAAAGGCTGCCAGGTGTCCCAGAATCTTCCTGCAGACCCCTTCAGCGTGTATCTGATTTTTTCCAGATGGATATGGTACACGACTTCTCTTATCCACTGTACATAGTCTGGGGGGCGTGGGTCCTTCCAGTTGCACAAAATGAGCCTCCTGGCCAGAAGAGCGCTAAAAGCAATCATATCCTTCTCATGCTTGCTGAAGGACGTATCCACAGGGACCACCCCAAACAATGAAATGAACGGTGATGGGTGTTCAGTTTTGCTATATATAACAGAGAAGTTGTCAAAAATAGAATGTTGTAGTTTGGGACAGGTCCAGAATGTATGCAAGAGTGTAGCTGGAGTTTGTTTACAATGATTGCATGCAGGGTCCAGATTGGCTTTGATGGACAGCTTGTCTTGGGACCAGTGCAGCCAGTGTACCACCTTGAATTGAATTACAGCGTGTCTCAGACAGATTGAGGATGAGTAAATGTTTTTAACGGTCTTTCGCCAGATTGAGTCTGATATGGATTCTTCCAATTCGGTTTCCCATTTCAATTTAAGGAAGTCCAAACTGGTCTCATGGCATGAACTGAGTAGTGTATAGATCTTGCTGAGGGCCCCCTTATTATCAGAGCTGCATTCAAAATCGTAACCACAAAATGTTTAGAGGGGTACAAAGGAAAACAATCAGAGTTAGAGCTCACATAATGCTTCAGCTGTAAATCTGAAAAACTTTAGCTGTAATTCTTGACATCAACCATGTCTGTCAGTTGGCAAAATCTCTCATGGACCACTGGACAGAATTTAATGAATCTCTCAGCAAATAATCACTGAAAGCACATCTAGAGCTGATTAACTTTTAGAGCCACCCTAATGGTGACTATTGCAGCCAATTGAATTCAAGAAACACAAGCGTGACTATAACTCAGTCTACTTTACTGACACAGATTTAACATTTGCTGTGGAAGTAGCAGACACTGATTCTCAACACATTCTCTGAGCGCCAACAGTTCTCACAAGATCTCACTATATCACATGAGATCAGATATAATATCATATACAAGGTTTAAACAAAATGGCTGGAAGTCCGTCCCTTTTCATCAAACGAAGGAGAAGGCAGGCAATATGCATTCCCTTAAAAAACATTGCTTTGATTTTCTTTGCATCTGGCTTTATCCCTCTGTCACACTTTAAGCAAGCAGCAGTTTCTACTTTAAGGTGTGACCTCATCATCCTGGCTCCATGGTACCTCACCTCCCTTTAGCAGCAAGAGCCACGTTATCACTCCCAAATAGAGAAACATGCATGTTCTCACACTGAGCAGCAGCAGAGGAGTCCAGAAAGAGCTTAACAGATCTTCTTTCTATTCCACAATATATGTGTCCACCTTTAACAGAGTGTGTGTGTACGGTGTTGGTGTGTTCGCAGGAGAGACGAGCGAAGAGGGAGAGAGACAGCGAACCAGAGGAGGCGAAGGGGAGGGAGGATAGATCATGCATGTGCATTAACTCAGCTCCAGCTCCAGCAGCAAACAGAAACAGCAGCAGCTCAGGAGGGAAGGAGAGAAAGAGACAGATGAGGAGGGAGAGTTGGAGGGAGGCTTAGGAACAAAAGCTGCAGAGAGCTGCTTTATTTCTCCGCTGAAAAGAACAACGAAGGTGTAATACAAGGAGGAGGCGGTAGTCATGATAGTAGTGAGACAATAACGGAGGAGAGGAGGTGCATTGTTAGTCAGAGCTCTTCTCTTCTCTGCTCTCCATGTTCTTTGGGACTCAACACACCACTGCCTTTGTCTCTCCAAACCCAGAAGAGGATGTCCGTGTCAGGAAAGAAGGAGTTTGACGTGAAACAGATCCTCAGGCTCCGCTGGCGATGGTTCAGCCATTCATCCCAAGGTTCTGCCGGTGGTGGAGGGGGTGGCGGCAGCGGTGTGGGAGGCTACATCCAGCAGGATGGCCTGGACCACAGAGGGACCCCTGTCCAGGGACGGCTGAAGAGCCACTCAAGAGAACGAGGCTTCGGGGGATTGAGGAAGACCAACAGCCCTGTTCACAGTGTCATGCCACCAACGCCTGGGCCAACACAGGTCTACGTCAGGACGGGTCATCAGTCGTGGCATCACCTGCCGAACACCATCCAAGGCCTGCAGGTGAACGAGGAGTCTCCAAAGAGCATCTCCTCTCCCAGTTCTGCAAGGAAAGAGGAAACGAACTCTGGCCAGAAAGATGTGAACAGCAGTACAGAGGAACCTGCAGAGGTGGATGCCAGAGACAGGTATGACTTAAGAGCTAATTAAGGAGAAAAAAGTGTCTCTTTTTAGTAAATGGTTAATAATAATAAAAAATAATCAGACTTTTCCATACTATTTAAGGAACTTGCATTTCTTTTCAATTTCAACGTAACTGTGCATCTGTTAATAATAATAAAAAAACAATCTAATGGAAAAGCTGGCTCCAGATGCAGCATCAAGTAATTAAAATGAAACATATATGTCTATTAAAACACTAAGTAACATAATCGATAAATCAATTCATAGCTCATTCAGCTGAAACCCAAGACCTATACATCTGCTACTTTTAACTTATAGTTTCAGTGCTGTCCTATGTGAAGAGTCTAAAAACAGCTTTCAAAATGCAGTGTGAATGCTGCATTCTGAACAACTTTGATAAAATTTGCTAAAGGAGCTAAAACAGAATTCTCAAAGCAACAAAAAAATAAAAGTGCAACATGAGCCAAAAGCTAAAAGAAGTAGAACACTGGCTAAAAGCAAAAGGGAACAAAGCTCTAGCTAAAACCAAAACTGTGCAAGATGCAAAACATTTGCTAAAAGGTAAAAGTTCATAGTAGAATACTAGTACAAAGTAATCAGCTAGCAAGAGTTTTGTTGAAAGCAAATAATAATAATAAAAGAAAATGCTAACTAAAAATATTAAGTTAGGTCAAAGATAAAATTAACAATAGATTAACTAAAGTAGCAGAAGTTTAGCTACAAACCAAAAGTAGTGAAAGGCAAGCAAAAAATAAAGATTACAAGAGTTGTGTTTCTAGTTCAAAGTAGCAATAAGTTGGTTATAAGCTAAAAGGAAAAAAAAGGCAAGCTAAGCCATAATAAAAAAGGTAAAGTAGCAAAAGAGTAGCTGAAAGCTAAAGGTAGCCAAAGCTTGTTAAAAGTATTAAATGCTAGGTAAATGCTGAATGTAGCAAAAATTGACTAAAAGCTAAAAATTGCAAAGACTGGCTGAAAGCTATTAGCAGCAAAAGCTTAGCTAAAAGTAGATAAAATGCTAGCTAGAAGCTAAAAGTAGCAAAATTGTTGGTAAAAGCTAAAAGTACCAAAAGGCTAACTAAAAACTAAAAGAAAAGGCATAACAAAAAGAGCAAGTTTGCTGAAGCTGACTCCAAAAGGAACAATTATTTGAAGGAACCGAAGAGATTTAAATGAATTTCTGAGTAAAATATTTGTAAATAAAGTAAAATATTTTAAATGAAGTTAAATTATTTGAAAAAAAAGTTACAAATGACTAAAGTAATTAATAAGGAAGCATCTCCTGAATGAATTGAACATTTTGAATATGAGAATGACTAAAAATGCACAAAGTATGCAGATGTAGTTATTTGCAAGCAACATGTGGGGAAATAAAAACAGATCAGGAAAAGCAAAGTGCACACAGGTATCATGTTGCATGTTTCACTCAGGCCCCTCTGCTGCCTTCGTGGCTCACCTGGGGACAGCTCCATCCCATCCTCCACAGCATGTATGGCAGGATAAACCAATAACACGTCTCTTTAATTATTCATTGAACTAAAAGCCGGGGCCTTTGCTTCTTTCTTCTCTTCTGTTCTGCGGCGCAGATCACGCTCTGATTGCACCTTTGATTCCTCTGTTTAGTTTTCACACGAGTGCATTTTCCCATGTAATGAAAAGTGGAAGAATCACTAAATCACATAACGCGTCTCGGATCTATAAACAGCCGCACAAGTTAAATCACATGCATTATCCAGTGAGCCTGTTTATGAGCTAAAGGCTATCACAGCTAGTGAATCGCACAGAATCCAAATCTGCTCGTAAATCCTTACGCTAAACCAATTTTCCAGGGATAAATCCCATTTTCTGCCTCTCTCTCTGTGTTGCAGTTCCCACTCTGTTTTCCTTGTCGGTCTACATCTTGTTCCAGGTAGTAAACAGGTTTGAGATGTCAGTCTGTTTGTGTGTTTGCGTCTGGCAGGAGACTAAAAGCACATCACATGATAGATGAAAAGACCAGCTCTCCTTTTATCTCACGTCTGTGACATTCTGATGCGATTGATCCTTAAGCTTCACTGATTCCCGAGCGCTTTTTTGTTTCATGCACCTGGCGATGAAAAGAACAATGCAGGTAAACCTGTCCCCTTTGTTTTATAGAGAGCTCGCGGTGTGTTACCAAACACCCAGCCTAGTCCCTACCCACACACTGCAAAACGTGTCGGTGTGGATTGAATGAATGCCACAGGCAGTGGATGGTTGGTGCTCCCTGAACTGAGCATGAATTATTCTGAGCTGAGATACGGCTTTAGAGTCAACTCCACGTTCGGATCTTCCTCGTGTCGGCATAATTGGCAGATTTTCATGTTTTGGAGCTCCTGTGTGTGAAACGTGCATGCATAAAAGATGTGCCTCAGAGTGAAAATGTGTAGCTCTCTGGCTCTCAGGATCCTTGAGTTCATGTTAGCCATGTAAAAAATAATAATAAAAAAGCCCATCCAGCAGTTTTTGACAATGATACTAAATTATTGAAAGAGTTCTGCTCTGCTGGATCATAAATATATCATATAGTCTCCACTTTGCGTCTGTTAATTTATGCTTTTAATAATGTTGGGTTATCTGAACGTGTTTTTACTCTTCAGACTTTTAACAGTTTGATCAAAACATTAGCTTTTACATTTTAAATCCTACCCTTTAGCATTGCTAATGCTATCATGCCATGAAACTAAAAAGCATTTCAGCTCCTCTGTCATCCCCCAGCATACTTGCCTTTATCTGTTAGCAAAATATCTCCTGAACCAGCAGACTGATTATTATGACACTCTCAGAAAGAATTAATTGAATATACTTCTACAACATAATAGTGTTTGCAGACAACCCGATTCAAGATGGCCCCTACAGATCATCATCTTGATCAATCATAAAAATAGCTATAATTCAGTCAGATTCACAGATATTTGGCTCAGACATTAGCATGGAAGAAGCTAAAATTCATCCCCAACACATACTCTGAGTACAAACTGTTGTACAAGATTTTAATATAATTTTTTTTTTAATTAACTGTTGGAGTAAATCCTAAATGTCTGTTAGCAATATATCACATGAACAACTGAATTGATTTTAATTAAACTCTCTGAAAGAAATTGGTATATATACTTCTAGATCTGATTCACTTTTGACGGCAATTTGATTAAAGATGGTTGCCACAGCTAATTGACTTTGGCAAACTTAACACTGGCCATAGCTCAGTCAGTTTTACAGATATTAAGGTAAAGTTTGGTGTGGTAGTAGTTGAGAGTCATCCCTAAGACACACTCTGAAAACCAATACATTTCACATTATCTTTATTTTAAATTTAAGCACACAAATTTGCTGCTAATGCGCATCTCCTCAATAAAACTTGTTTCATTTCACGTGAAGCTTTTATTGTGTAAAAATGCATAAATACACTTTTATAAAGCATTCCAAACCACAAAAAGAAGAAAATAAAAAACATTAAATATGAATATAAAATAAAAATCCTATTTCTCATTATCCCCCAGCATTCTAGCTGTCTGTTGCATAATTAGACTCATGGCCGATGGAAATAAAGCTGCTCAGTGACGGGAACTTCATCTGTGGATGTTTAGTCTGAAACGGACCAGTGGTTGTGTGACACATTACGTCTGACACGTTCATCTGTCGCTAAGCAGGATGTCACTGAGATATGTACATTTATTTACCTCACCAGCTGGGTGGCCCGATTACGTCGCACACCATGAATCCCTGACACCTAATTTGTCACAATCTCTCAGGCTGAATCTAGGATTTCATTCTGGCGGTTGTGAAAAATACAAAAGTTTTGCATGTCGTTGAAAAATGCGTCTTTTTATGCTGTGTGTGTGTGTGTGGACCCCTCTACGAGCTTCATACACACACTGTTTTCAGCCATCTCATCAGGTACGTCAAGTACGTCAATTTGTTTAAATTAACGTGGGTTTCTCGCTCCTTACATTAATATTTCACGTTGCTGTCAAACTGAATTAACGAGCAGTATCGATAAAAACAGCTCAGCGTTTGTGGCTGTACCTTTTAAAAGAATGTAGGATAAAATACACGCAACGATTGGATTTAATGGAAGATTTTTATTCCTGCTCCCAGCTGAACAGCGAAAGGGCGCTAATGCTTTTGCCTGTGTCTGTGTGATTAACCGAACAACTTTTAGAGTCAATGAGATTCAAGATGGCTGCCACCGCCTCTGACCTTAGAAAACACAATAATGATTACAGTTCAGTCAGTTTTACTGATATTGAACTATTTGATATGATAGTAGCTGAAAGTTATTCCCAATACAAAATCTACGTGCCACTCGTTGCCCAAGATCATTGCTTAAAACTTTATTATTAACTGGCTGAGTCAACACTGTTTGTCTGTTAACAAAATATTTTGTGAATACCCAAATAAATTTGAATGTAACTCATGGATATATGTCTACTTTTAAAATGATCTCAGTTCAAGATGGCCGCTACAGCAAATCGGCATTAGACAACACAACAATGGTTAAAACTTAATAAGTTTTAGAGATCAAAGTTCATGCTCACTAATCCAGGTAAAAAAATCCAACCAAGTTCAGTCAGGTCATCTGGGCGGTTTCTGTTTTGTTGTTGTTGAGACGTTTCGTCCTTCATCCAAAGGACTTCATCAGTCCGAGGAGCCACAACAAACTCAGTTCCACAAGCAGCACACTCTTATAATGGACCAACCAGTTTGCTGGTGAAAAGATGGTTTCTGGGGCCCGCCCTCTCCCCTGTCGACTTCTCTGAGGCAGCCATACCAAAGTGGTTCAAAACATCAAGGCTCATGCTCAATAATGTAGGTAGGAAATCCAACAAAGTTCAGTTAAGTCATCTGGACGGTGTCTTTTTTTGGGTGTTGTTGAGGCATTTTGTCCTTCATCCAAAGGTTTTCAACAGTCTGAGGAGCCAAAACAAACTCAGTCCCACAAGCAGCACACTCGCATAGTGGGCCGACTAGTTTGCTGGTGAGTTCTTTGGATGAAGGACGAAACGTCTCAAAAAAAAAAAAAAGAAAGAAACCATCCAGATGACTTGACTTTGTTGGATTTTCTACATGGATTATTGAGCATGAACTTTGATGTTTTGAACCACTTTGGCATGGCTGCCTCAGAGAAGTCGACAGGGGAGAGGGCGGGCCCCAGAAATCATCTTTTCGCCAGCAAACTGGTTGGTCCATTATAAGAGTGTGCTGCTTGTGGAACTGAGTTTGTTGTGGCTCCTCAGACTGATGAAGTCCTTTGGATGAAGGACAAAATGTCTCAACAACAACAAAAAAGAAACCGTCCAGATGACCTGACAGAACTTTGTTCAGTTTTTAGAGATAATGAGCTCAAGTTTATTCTGGGAGTAGCTGAGAGTGACTCACAACACATACTTTGAGAATGACATCTTGCGATATCATGAGTGTGTTATTTTTGAGGTTGGACCAAAACGACTACAACTCCTTTATTTCTTAACATAAGATGAGCTTAGTCTAAATGTCTTCCATGAAAATCCATGCAAGTCTTTAACTTAAAGGTGTATTTAATAAGAACAAATCCTAACTTTATATTTTGAAACTTGTTTTCAATGAGACAAAAAAAGACTCCTCCTCACTTCAAAGTTCATGTTCAATAATCCAGGTTAAAAAAAAATCAACAAAGTTAAGCCAGGTCCTCTGGACGGTTTCTTTGTGTTGAAATGTTTCATCCTTTATCCAAAAGACTTCATCAGTCTGAGGATTCACAACAAATTCAGTCCCATAAGTAGCACACTCACAAAGTGGGCCACTTGCATGACTTTGCTTAGAGCTGTCATTTCTAACCCAAACCCAGAGCCCGGCCTCACCTGACCTGGATTCGGATTGGGCCGGGTCATAATAATGTGCTTAATCTGTGGGCTGGGTCGGTGTCGGACTTTTTATTGTGTCAGGGACACGCGCGGCCGATGACCCAAACAAGTGAGATCACAAAATATTGGACATGTCAGAGCAGGGTTCAATGCGAGCAGAAGCAGGGGAAGCATTTAATGCACTTTGAGGGCTCCTCAGCTCCGATCATCTGCCGCCTCAGCCGCACTCATTTGCCAACTGTTAATAATAATTGGTGGTATATGCAGTCAAAGCTTAATTAAAAATGTCGGGGGGGGGGGGGTATCGGGGTTGGACCTGTAATTGCTGTTAATTCATCAGATCGGGTGGCGTTCGGAGATGATGGCTACAGGGGTTGGTTCAGATTATTTGGACCCGAGTGCAACTCTTCTTTGGCTATGGCTGCCTCACAGGAGTCGACGGGGGAGAGAGCAGACTACAGTCATGTGAGTGTTCTACTTATGGGACTGAGTTTGTTGCAGCTCCTCGGACTGATGAAGTCCTTTGGATGAAGGTCGAAATGTTTCAGCACAAACAAACTATCCAGAGGACCTGACTTTTTCACCTGGATTATTGAGCCTGAACTTTGATGTTTTGAACCACTTTGGC